AACTCCAGCAGAGGGAAAACAGGCTGGTGAAAACAGTCTGAGTGGTATGTAGATCAAAACAGCCTGCAGTCATTGCATTGCCAGCTTTGTGGGTGACATTTGTCTTTTTTATAACCTTTATGTCACCCTTTTTTTATCTAGAATACCAGCTTGCTCAAGAGGACTCAAATGAGTCTGAATCCATGCACAGGTGTATTCCTACCATCAGGTACAAGAAATAAAGCATCTCACACAAAGCTCAATAACAGATGATAAAATTCAGTTTATTGTAATATACATGTTCTTTTTTATTAACTGTTAAGTTTTGGGGTCAGCAGTGGAGTAATGGCTGCTGAAATTTCAGCTTTGCCCCCACAGGAATACATTACTTTTTAAAATATTAACATCTTACCGACCCCAAACTTTTAAGTGGTAGTGTATTTTGTCACTTTTGTTAAATGCATTTGTATGTATACGTCTTTTGTCATTCTAAATTAAATCTTCCTTTGGCTGAGTCTGTGCTCCGCGTTTTGGTAATTTCGTTCGATCAGTTGTTTGCCAGACCTCGCTGAGATTGCAGACCTCTCCAGCATATCCTGTTCACCAGCCAATCACCTAGAATGGGTGGAGTCAGCTGAAGCCCCGTCCATCCCTGTCAGCAAAGGACATCCACCCTGTAACAGCACCCCACGCAGCCCAAAAGGTAAGCTGGGAATCAGAAAAATGTAACATGAATCAAGATTCAGAATATGTTGTGTGGGTCAGTTTCGTCTAATTGTGAGCACTGTTTAATTACAGGCCATAGGACACACCTTAAAGATGTGCAGGTTGGCACTGAGCCCCTCCCTCACCTCCAGAGCTTGTTGGACACGTCACCATGGGGCAGTGCTCCATCCCATACTGTCTGCACAGAGAGTTACGCCACAGTCAGCGCAGGAGACAGCAGCACTGTCAGTCAATGAATCATGATATTTGAATAATATATTTCTGTCAACAATCATATCAGTATCGGGCAATAAATGTGACTTTTTATGTTTTCCATATCAGACCAATAAGTAAAATAGACTGATATACAGCTGACAATTTATACTCAAATAAACACCCCAGATTGTTTACACCAGTTGGCCTAAATAATGTTAAACCTAAAATGTCTACATGGAGCCTGATTTTTTTTCCAGGGTACACAGGCATTTTATTTCTATAATCTTTGTTATACTTTTGTAATTTTTTACTTACATAGTGTAAAAGAATGTTGTCTATGTATTAAAAATAAGAATTAAAAAATAAGTTAAAAAGAATAAAAATAAAGTTACAAATAAATACAGAAAATAATTAATGAATAAAATGTGATGCAAACATTTAGATTTTGTTTCATCATGTAATTTATTCCTTTATTTTCCTTTATTTATTTATATTTATTTGATTTACTATCTATCTGTCTGTCTATCTATCTATCTATCTATCTATCTATCTGTCTGTCTATCGAGAGACTTTTAAGGTGGCTGTTTTTTGATAATATCTTTGACCTATATTTGAAAAGTATTAATCATTTCAGTTATTGCCCAAAATGTCAGTATCAGTGCATCTCTGATTTCTAATGTGCTTTGAAATGTCATCTTTCCTGGCATAATATGATGGTACACTCATCAAATATCTTAAGTATTATTATTTGTTTTATGCTATTGACATCTCTTCTGTGTGTTTTCGCAACTTGAATTCACTCAGAACTTTTTCAGTGAAGACAACTTCTTTTTTATTATATACAAATGCTTGTTGTTGTTTTGTTGTAGAAGCTTGCATCTGATAAATGTAAATGTACCATTATCTTATTTTTGCATCAATATAATCACAGCTGGAGCATTTATATTGATATCCTGCTTCTCTTTTCAGACAAATGCCTCTGTGTCCAGCGTCCTGCAGTCTCCAGTAAAAATCAACATCTCTAAGGATGGAAGGGAGGAAATAGACTCTTCCTCCAGCGGTAATGCAGAGTTCAACACTGCCAGCTCTGGAGCCAGACAGTCCACTGAGACCAGCCAGGGGCCCAGTGAAGAGACAGAGCATCCTATTGGTTTGACAGTTTGTTGTTCATTGCAATCATTTTTAAAAACGTAATAATGTATTTGCCGTGATGTGAGAATCAAACTGTTTGATTGTGTTTCCTGCAGAGAATAATGATGTGGGTGAGGAGGGAGAGGAGGTAGGTGATGATGACCCGTCAGACTCTGAACGGCAATGTGAGCAAGAGTCCTCTGATGAAAAGGTGTTTGATGATGAAGACATTGCAGAGAAGATGGAAGGATGTGAGGGTGAAAACCCATGTCAGATACATGGTAAGGCAGATCTACAGTAGGGCTGTGTTTTTATTAACTTAAATGAGGAATTGAAGTAATGTGCTTCTGTATTTTCAGACCATCATCCAGACCGCAACTCTGCTGATAATGCAAACTCTCAGAAAAGAGATAAGAGTCACAGCCTTGATGAAACTGAGAGGTAAAACCCCCAATACTTTGCCGTAGTAAAGGGATTTACTTTACTGGTTGTAAACTTTATGACACAGTGATGACAAAAAAAAGAAAAAGTGACATATATCAGTGAAATGGCTTCTATTAACATTTAGAATAGTCTATTGTCTACAGCTGTAAGGAATTTATGGGGTGGATGTTTTTTATATTTTAACTGAATAATTTGTTCATTTTTTAGATCCATGTTAGTAGGTTCTATTATTAGTTTTTTCCTCTCTTAAAACTTAAATGAAGTTGCTTCTACTTTGAAATGGCATATGAAATCTTGCAGGGCAAGCTCCACCCTTGATGAGGATCTACAGAGAATGTTTTTGGAAAGAACCACAGAGCAGAGAAACCCTAGAGACCCAGGGTCCCTGTGAGTGCTGAAGCTCCATGTTTTTCTGTGCAAACACAAAGACTAGCCTAGAAGTGTCTGGATTTTTAGAAATAGGATTAGATATGTCTTCTGAATTATATTTTAATCTTAAATTATGACAACCATTAATCTGTGCTTGGTATAGCATGTCTGACATAAAAGGAGAGGGGGATGTGAGAGAGGACTTGGGTTGTCCAGAAGGGGACTACATAGAGACAGCAGCAGGTGCGTGGATAGAAGTCTTTTTCTAGTCTCCTTTCAAGGGTTAGTACAGACTACCCTTTTCAACAAACATTGTGATGTTTTTTTTTGTGTGGGCGGAGCTTAGGTGGAGGCAGAAATATTCCCCTGACTGCGTCTCTAACACTAGCTATCAAGATTTGTTTGCTTGTTTTTAACAATGACTGGAGAAACACGATTTTACCTGAATATATAAGGTCACTCACTGTCTGGGGCTGCGATTGTTATTTCACAAACGAAAGCAGATTGGCCGACACGTACCCTCACTCAGTGGATGGATGATCTGACAGGATTACTTCCATGTCTTAACTAGCCATGAAGATGTAGGCATACATTTCAATTTCAGCAGGCAACTATTTTTGCATGAGAGTGAACAACTGGGCCAAAATACAACAAAAAAAACTTCAACATTCAGTGTGATGGATATTTGAAGAGGTATGTATGCAATGGCCAAATAGTTATTTTAAAGTATAATGCCTCCTGTAAATAATGTTAATTTACAGTGGCATTACAGTATCATTACATTACTTTGAATACAGTACATTTAAAGATGTGAATATTTTCTAGAAATAAAAATTCTAGACACTGCAAATTAATTTTTGAACTTTCTTACCAGGTTCTTAAAAATTCCAGCCACAATCAATCACAACAATGTATATACGATCACAGATTAAGCATATCAAGTCGCCAGTTGTTGTTTTTTTTACACACATGCACGCAGACATTATTTCATACTCTTGCATGTCGCGAGATGCATGAGAAATCTTTAGGCGTGCGACCACCAAACCATAATCTATAACAACTAAAGACAACACTTTATTTAACCGTTCCTGATAAGAAGTGTGCGCTGCAAACGCAAGCATTTTTGATGATCGTTTCTGTCCAGTCCACTCATTTTATTGCTTTTAACCACAGCTGTCGTCGTTTTTTTTGTCTGTCAGTGGCAGCAGGTATGCGATAAAATTTCAAAATGAAGCCTGTACTCTGTCGATTCTGCCACCCAACAACACAAGATGACATTTTAAGCTCCTTGTGTAGGCAAGTCTGTGCTTTTTTGAATTGGCCGCCTCCAAGCCTTTCCCTTTGTTTTGCCTCCATCTAACACCGGCATAAAAACAGTCTTAAGCTCAAACGCCTAATGAAGTGTTTAACTCGGGGATAGGTAACGTCGGTCCTGGAGTGCCGCTGTCCTGCAGAGTTTAGTTCCAACCCTAATCAAACACACATGAACAAGCTAATCAAGGTCTTCAGGATTACTAGGGCTACAGGTAGGTGAGGTTTTTTTTCAGAGTTGGAGCTAAACTCTGCATGACATCGGCACTCCAGGACCGACGTTGCCTATCCCTAGTTTACCTGATTGAAGCCCCGTTTGTTTTTTTTCTGTAGAATGTATAAACAAGCTAGGAGAAAAGATTGAGGCAGCTGATCAGGAGAACCATCCTAACAGGTGCACAAGAAGCTTAAAAAAATTTTTTTTTGACCCTAGGAATACATTGCTAGTGTAAATCATATTGCTTATACATTAGAAAAATCCTGCTGGCTTTCCTGGTTGAAAATGCTCCAGAATATATTTTTGTAATTTCATGTTTAATTTTTTTATTAGCAGGGTTCTTGAGCAGACACTTCCAGAGTCAGTCAAACTGCACTGTTAAAGAGAAGCCGATCCCGATGTTTTGCATCTGAATAGTTTCCATTTTAGATGCTTAAGGCATGTGGTTTGTGTTGTTTATGTTGAATTTACTGTTTAATGTAAGAAAATGTTCCAAATAAAAAACTTAGCCTTTAGACTTGTTCTTATGTACATCAACAATTTGAGCTTTGATGTTACTATGGACCGTAACAAATAGATGTTATACATTTTTAAATGTTTTAAATTCTATTTGATGTTCTGATGTTGTTGTTACAGAAATGTATTGCCAGTGTCTTGCTGCATTCAGTAGCTTCTAAATAAAGGAAACATATATATATATATATATATAAAAAAAGATATTTTATTGCATACTCAATTACAACAGTAACCTAAAAAAAGTGAATACACTGAATCTTACCAGTCTCCTCTGCTTCACTGATATCTGAAATTTGATAAAACATCCGTTTCACTTTACAAAAAATATAACCTCTTGTGCTGTAAAGTTTCTTTCTTATACAAACCTAATGATGCCACAACAGGTCACGATATAATTTAATAATGGCTGCATAACATTATGCAGTGGAAATAGGACAGAAAAATAACAGCCAAAAATAAGTTTAGAGCTTAAAGTCTGATCAAATTATTTTCTTTTAAATGTATGCAATCCTGATTAATGGATATACTTTAACTTTATGGATGCAATGTTTATGAAGTGTTTTCAAGTCGCCGTTATTCCCGTTCTAAACTGTTGATCCAATCAAAGTGCAAGAAGGGATATACTTCAGCACAGAGGTGGAAGGAACTGGATGATTTACATGTTTTGGTGATGTTTGTGTGTCTATTTTGTCCCCGTTTTCTCCCCGTCGTTTGCCAGCAATGACACAAGTCCTTTTTTATCCAGCTCGATGATTTTAAGATGCTGTAAGGTCTTCAATGCAGAATCACTGACTTTCATGTTCAGCTTCTTCATCCTCTGAGTGCTTATTGGCCCCCTGAAGAGACAAGAATGAAAATATTTAAATAAAATGTATTAGTTAACACTTTTATGGAATACATACAAATCACACAAAAAGTTGTCTTAAGTTACAGTACATTATCAATCATGTTAGGGCTCAGGGTTAAAGGTGATGTGTTTGCACAAATATGACCAGACAAACCTGTCCTTATCTGAGAAGTACTCGGATAACTGCTTATAGAGCGTGTTGAGGTCATTCAGCTTCAAGTTACCACGTACACTCCGCGGAACAGTCTCAAATGTCCCCTCAGACACCTCGTCACACACGTTCTGTGCTGCAAGAGAGTGAAAAAAAGCACAATGATTTTTTATAATTACTGATATTGACCCTTGATGATGTGCCAATGTTACAATTGCTTAATGTTGATAGTCTTCTTCTGTCCTTACATTCAGACTGTGCTTGAGTTTGAGGTTCTTCTGTAGACGCGACCTAAAGAAACAGAAACACATTCACCAACTCAAAGTAGCTTTTACCTCCAAACTTCACAAATAATTACATTTTAATAAGTACATGCAACTGCTGTTCAAAAATTAGAGGGAGTAAGATTTTTTTTTTAAAGAAATTAAAAAAAACATTTAAATGTTAGAGACATTTAAATGTTAAAAAATATTTCTATTTAAACAAAATCCTGTTTTTTTTAAACTTTGTATTCTTCAAAGAATTCTGAAAAAATGTATCATGGTTTACACAAAAATATTTAGCAGAATAACTTTTCAAAATTGATGATGAGAAGAAATGTTTCTTAAGCATTAAATCAGCATATTAGAATGACACTGAAGACTGAAGTCATAGCGACTGAGAATTCAGTGTTGCAATCACAGGGGAAAAAAAATATTTAATTAGAAAAGTTATTTTAAATTGTAATAATATTTCACAATATTAATGTTTATATTGTATTTGATCAAATCAATGTAGCACTAGTAAGCATAAGAGACTTCTTACATTACCAACCCCAAACATTTGAACAGTAGTGTAGTTGTGTAATTATGGTAATAAAAAGCTTTACAAAATGCCTAACCTCTACATTTAATGTGGCAATGGATGAGCAGAGAAAATCTCTCGCTTCTTGTTCTTCTTCTGTCAGTGGCGGAACCTTGAACAATATTTTCCATTAGCATAGTCCAAACCCAAAAACCTTCATTTTTTCCAAAGACTATTCCTGAACTATAGTGAAATCATTGTGTATGGCCTCTAGTGTAATAAGATTAACATGGACTGTTTTGGTTTGTTAGATTTTGTCCGTTGTTGTACAACTGAACAAACACCTGCACATCTGCTGTGTTCTGCAGCTGTTGAACCAGCTGCACAGTGGTGTCCAGGTGAGCTCGTATTGAATCCATTGATCGTTTCTGTTCCGCCGCGATCTCCTCCACCTGCGTGCACAGGGCCACATGCCGTGCTTTGATCGCCGACAGGTTCTCCAGCAACTGAACAGGGTTTCCCTGAAATCCACAACCACAGATTTAGAAACACAGACTCGGTCAGTATTTAAAATTAAAAAATGAATACGAACGTACCTCAAACGTGCCCGCTTCTCGCGCATTGGCCATGAAGTCAAATTTCAGCCGCTTTTCCACATATTCTATATCAGCTTCTGCTTTCTGGAACTACAAGGACACAGACCTAAACATCATAATTCAGTAAGCATTCACAAGATTTGAATCGGGGTTGACTGCTGTTTGTATGCTTTAGTGGCCCATCTGAATGAGGGAACAACCTAAAACCTGAAACCCTATTAGCAATATTGCACTACTCTGAACAGTGGACAGCAGAGGCAATACTGATAGGGTCCCAAGAATTAGGATTAGACATGACTTGTAAAACAGAGAGGACAAACCACAATATGCCAGATGAGACGGTGGGCGCACCTCTTTGAAAACTTTCAAACATTGTGCAAAGCTGCTCTCAGATGCTTTGACAATACTATTGCACTGCTAGCTGTCCAATACAGTAGTGCAATGAAGTCAGAGCACATGTTAACAGCACTTGATTTGGCTGGCCACGCTGTTGACCCTACCTTTGAGAAAAATCCCTGGCCAATGCCCTTTTAACATTGCACTGCTTTAATAACTGGGTTATCAGTAGTACAATATAAAAGGGGCACTGGACAGACGGTACACATTCAGGGCGGTCCATTTGCATGCTGAAATATCCAATCATGTAAATAATGTCAACAAAAAAGCCTGGGAAGAAAACTGTTGTCACATAAACATTAAAACATAAAAACATTATAGTGTTGAGATACAGATATGTAGATGTGTCATAATACAGGCAATCATTTTAAAAGTGAGTGTGTTTATTGTTATGCTATTTTGTTCATTATAGCTATTTTGCATTTATCTAATTTAATAAGTAACAGCCGGAATTGTTCAGAGAGAATTTTATATTTTTACTCAAAATAACTAAAATACATTATCATTAGGCATTTCTGACACTGGCAGTGCAGTAAAGTTACTAATGCTAGTTCGCTACAAAGAGCAACACTGCGCCCCCTATCGTCTCCACTTCCTAACGATATTTGAACTCGTGAGAAAAAAAATTATATTATTGCATATTATGGTTTTACTTAAACAGAATACCAATATAGCTTTTATGAGATTTTGTAGGCATGCAAATAATCAGTCTAAACTTTTACGAAGAGGGCTGTGCTTCTTCCAGAAGCAATGGACACATTTTATATAAATTGATATCAGTTAATAACAATTGCTACAATAACTGGTGTTTATATAAACCCATAATGTTTACACATATTTAAATATCTTATGGTATAAGGAGTAAGTGCGGGATGCAGCGCGCAGTCTCGCGGACTCACGCACAGGCCCTCCCGCACCCGCAGCCCCTCACCGCGCTCAGCGCTTCACACAGCAGCCATCGAGCCAAATTAACACTTTTCGGAATGAATGCCATGGTTTCGATTCAAAATATGCACATTATAGTAAATTAATCACATTAGGGCTGATTTTTGCTGTAAATACAAGTGAAAAAAGACATTAGCAGTGGCACTAGTTAGCCATCCAGCTACATGTTTTTCGTAATTTTCCAACGTGAGGGAAAGTCAGAGGCATTTACAGAACATGTAATTCTTCGTGTTTGTTCTACATTACGTTGTCTATCGTAAAGGCACCTGTGTCACTAACAGTTAGACGCGTACGGTCGGTTTACACTAGAAAACATCTGATGGAAACGTTTGGCTGAAAAAACAGCTTACCATCGCCTCCAGTTTATCAACTGTCTCCATGTTGAATAGTTTACATTCCTGAAGCAGCCCCGGAAATATGAAGCTCGCAGCAGAACGCAAGACCTTCTCTGATTGGTCAGCTGTCAGAGAGCGTGGAAGATGATTGGTCAGTTCGGAGGGAGAATGAGTGGAAAAGGGATGGTATGTTCGGGATGGAATTCTAACGTACTGCCTTGTACGTGCTACACAATGTATGTATAATGCATAGTATTTAAAATTGAGTATTAAATATGTATTGTGAATTCAGTGTTGTTGTTTTTTTTAACTTTCGGCAGTCTGTTGATGCATGCATGCAAAAAATGTTGTATTATATATTACACTTAGTCATACTCTGCAAGTATGAATACTCTATACATGATATTTGTAGTACACAAATATTTAGTCCAAGGCCTTGAGAATTACGGGAAGAGACCTATTTTAATCTCCAAGATGTAATGTTCAGGTCAGGGTAACTTTAAAATCATGCTCCTGGATGCTTAAACAAATTCAGTTCTAAAACTGAAGTCTTGATGACAGTTAATATTGTACTATTTAAAAAAAAGTTTATTAAAAGACTAAGAGTCATTTAAAAAAATAAAATATATATAACGTCACTTTGTAGGCCGATCGGCTGTTAGCATCACACTGGTTCCCCATAGGCTTTTGGATTATCGCAAAAAATAAGCTGTGTTCAACCATATTTCGTGAAACTTACACGTTTTTTCCATCAATAAAATCTTCACAAAATAATATAACTTTCATGAATTTTGAAGCCTAAATTAAAGCGCCAGAGCTTATTTTGTTATTTGGTGTATTTGGTGTAATGAAATGTGTTTATGCAGTTTAAGGTTCAAAAAAACATTATTTTCCACATACTGTACATTATTGTTTCTCCTCTATGCCCCGCCTTTCTGAAACGCGTCGATTTTTACAAAGCTCATCGGTCTGAAAAGAGAGGTGTGCTCTGATTGGCCAGCTATCCAGAGCGTTGTGATTGGCCGAATACCTCAAGCGTGAGACGGAAATGTTACGCCCCTCACCATACTGTGATGATGCCCTGTCAGGCCAGAGCGACGAGACAAAAACATGAAAACCCATTACAAACGAGGCATTCG